AGATAAAAAATTTTATTTCTTAAAAGTTTCGACGGCCATGCCCTCTTAGGGCCCCTTTTTCTCCGTCAGTGTTGTGAACCGTGATGTACATCATATACGAAAAGTTAAAGTGTTAAACCCCCAATTTGGTCACTGAACTATTGTTTGGACCTTTGATTTGGTCTCTAAACTAAAAAAGTTCTTAATTTGGTTCTTGAACTATTATACGAACCCCAATTTGCCCCAAGTTGATCCTTGGGTACAAAAAATAGCTGATTTGTTTATTACTTAACGACGAAAAATAGTAACTTAATAACAAAAAATAGTAACTTAACAGTTACGTATTACATTAATAACATGACACGTCAATTGATTTTTATATAGAAAGATCAACTTGAGTAAATTAATAAACAATAAGATCAAATCAAGGCTCTTACAATAGTTTAGAGCCGCAATCAAAGATTCTTTTAGTTTAGTGACCAAATCAAGAGTCTGTACAATAATTTAAAGACTAAATAAAAGATTTAACCTTTATGAAATTATGAACAGCTTTGGAAATTTGGATCACAAACTGAAGGCCAAAAAATTCACTGAAGTACAGGGTTCGATCAAAACCGAATCAACTAATTCGGTGCGAATATCATATAAACATAATTTTCAATTTCAATTCTGCAAGCATGTGTCTGAGATCAATGACTTTGGACACCCTAAGGCAGGTCGCTAAGATCATTTATTGTCTAAAACTAGATAAGACCAAAGTTAAATGACTTGATGAATGAGCTCAAAGTCATTCTTTTTTTTTTTTTTTCGTTGCACAATAAGTGTGGCAAGATCATAAATAGCTGATCTCTGTTTCTAAGATATATTTTTTTTACTCGTTCTTGAGTAAATTAAAATATTATTGACTTAAGTATTAAAGTGTTTATTTTGAAATCCAACCTCAATTTTTTGCAGGTTAATCAACTTCGTGGACTGAACTTGAAGAAACTTGAAGATTTCTGTGATTACTTCAATTCCTACTGAACCGCACCGATTTCCCACCCATACTAGAAGCCGTCCTCTGCCATCAATCCTGCAACAACAACCAGAACTATCACCCTAGATGTGAAACATAGGATTCACTTCCAAACACAGCCACCACTGAATCAGTCTGCCATCACCGCCCAATCAATAACCACCCAATCAATAACCACCCAACAAGCATCTCCTGACCTTGGCGTCGCACCTATACCCCAAAAGGGCAAAGCTTTCAGCAAGGATCTCCAACCGACCAGTCAACCACCACTTCCCAACCAGAATTGCCAAAGACCGTAAGATGAAACCCTTCCTCTCATTCAATTCGCGCTTGCCATCCAAACTCAAAAGGACCTCCATCAACGATAACATCGAGCAAATCAATACTCCCACGATGGGTATCAATACTCCTACGATGTGAAACCCAGAGGCCAGAACCTCCAAAATATGTGCCTACCAGAAAGCGTATGGAGCATTTCTTGTCTTTTCCTCGTCCTTCCAAAACGAATAGTTAATTGTATTACTTGAGACTAAAAGTCGGACTGACCAAAAAAATACAGAAGAGAGCTACCTTCCCTACCGAGTGATAGTGGCTGACATTATGTTCATCCCTAGACGCGTATGAGTTTCACAATATATAATATTATATAATCTTTTTTTTTTTTTGGTAGAATATAATATTATATAATCAACAAGCCAATAACATAGCTAGGGCAGCTAATGATTTGTGGATAGGTTATGGGTGCAGACTCTCCCGAGCTCAGCTCTAGAGTCTGATGTTCTTACAGAACCATGTAAACAAAAGTCATTGCATTGAGCATAAACACAACATCTACTCAACTTGCAACAAAACCAACCCAAACAAAAGTACATGGCACGAGCTTTCTCTTATTCAAACAAAGTCCACCCTCTCACCATATATTCAACTTCAGCCTTGGAGACCAATAACACCTACATTACAAGATCGAGACATAAATGAAAATATTTACGAGAATCATGGGCTGCTTCATAAGAAATTCCTCAGAGGAAAGAAACTGGGAATAGAAATGCATGCATACTACATAGTCCAACATTAAAGTCAGTTTACTCACCACAAGCTACACGGCCCCCAGCATTTCCAGTGGTTTTGCTAAGCTCATGGCCCCCTGGAAATATGGAAGCAGTTAATATATGTCTAAAATAGTAAAATATATGGCAATACGGTCATGCTATATAAAGTTATTTCAATTTCAACCAGCAGAATACAAACTTTTAACCAGGTGAATATAAATTTAAAAGGATTCTTATATTTGCTTCATTGACAATTAATGCAGCATAAAACAGAAATAAAGTGAAACAACTCCAGACATCAAGTTCAAATTTTGAACTTTAGTATATATATTAGTATATTACCCTTGCCAAGATCATCAGGATCTGAATGGACAACAACAGCCCTTCCAACAATAGAGTTTGGTCCGGTGAGAGGAATCTGCAGAAATACATTAACTTTTAGAAAGCTCAGGATCATTGCAGATAGGTCCACAATCATAACAGAAAGAATTGAAATATAAACATAAAGCAATGAGGAATTCAATATAAACCTGCTTGTCAATGATGGTGAAACTCACAGTACCTAAATGAAACAGAAAAGATCATCAATGTCAATAAAACAAACAATAACACCACTAACAAACAAACTACAGAACAATGATAGTGTTCCATATCAGAAGCCTTCTTCACATAATTAATTGGAATGAACCAGGCTCAATTTAAAAATGAAAAAGACTTAATGAAAATCCTAAAAAAACGAAGTTTTAAAAATAAAAACATTTTTAAACTGTAAACGTATCACTCATAGGAATTGAATAATAATTAGAATACAATTCATACCATCATCACCAACATTGATATTCCCTAAATCACCAGCATGGCGATTCTCATCTTCTGGGGCACCATGTTCATTGCCAGCAGGATTAAAATGTGGTCCTGCAAACAAATGGCTATACGGTAACAGCACAAACACAATTATATCACACAAAAAATTTTAAAATACAAAAAGAAAACTACAGTCATTTCTTTTCGCCAACTCACTAAAGAAGGAAACTGAGAGAATTCAACCCTTTAAAAATTACCAGTTGACATGCAACCATTTGTTGTGTCACCAAGAGCGTGAACATGAAAACCATGAAGACCAGGCTTAAGTCCAGAAACGCTCCCAGTCACGGTAGTTGGACCTGCATAAGATGAAATAGTTAAACACAATTAGATATCTAAAATAACGAAACAGCTAAAATACAGATAAATCTGGAGTTCAATTTACCATCTCTCTCTTGAGTGAAGAAAATAGTCCCACTGACCCCCTCACTGCTTCCAAGAACGACAACAGCCTTCACCATTGTTTTGATTTCAGTGTGATCTAAACCAGACAAATGTCAGATTTGCTAGATGTAAGATTAACTGACCGTTTGACAACAAAACATCTATGAGATATACAATAAATAAAATGAGGCAACATCCAAGCTAACAAACCAGAGCACCCAAATCTTACTAAACACATCCAGCAACAGTCCTCAAATTTCATACCATTGAATTTAAATTGAACAAATAAGATTACCATTTAACAAGATTCAACTAGGTGGAGCAACTGACAATAATTATCCATATTTTTCCAAAAAAATTAAAAGAAAATTCGGAACTTTTTTCTAAATTTTAACATCTCTTCGGCTAGAAACAAACTTTTTCTCAAATTTAATTTTCCTTTCCTCTTTGGTATTCAAAGATTTTACGGTTTTACAATCATCAACACCACATTCATCACAGAAAGGCCTAAAAGATAGCTTTTCAGTCATCGAAAATCTAGCTTAACTTGGATTATCAAAACAAAGAGAGATCTGAAGATTAAAGGCACAATCCAAAAGCAAAAACACCAAAAACACCATCGAAATTTAAGTAAAAATTACAGAACAGTCGAGCTTCTTCCAGCAGTCAACAGAAAAATCAATGGCCAATCTTGCCGGCCAGAAAAGAGCCGATCATCAGAAAAAAAATGCAGATTAACAGAAATCAATGGAGAGATTAGTTCTGAAACCCTAGGATTCAAAGTCAAAGTAAGTTACCTCAGGGCACCCCTGGAAGAAGGATAGAGATGGTAGGTGTAGTGAGTGAAGGAAGTGCGTCGCATAAGAATAATAAATAGGGTGGATGCCTTCTAGAATTATCCACATTCCACATCTCACTCACCTGCGTAGGGGGAAATGGTCATTTTGACACAGATTTTTTTTTATTAAAATATCAATTTTGTCTCTCAATTTTTAGATTTGTACCAAATCTACCTTAAACTTCAAAAATATCAAAATTATATTTGAACTTCAATTTTTGATACCAATTTCATTATTCTATGAGTTAAGTGATGACTTGGCCAACTATTCTATCCAAAAATTTATTTTCTTTAATTTTGAATATTGTGTGAAAATGAGATGGAAATTCAAATGGTTGTATGACAATTTTTTTTTTTTTTTGCTTATGTGACATCATGTTGCTATTTTTATACTTTAAAAATTAAAAATAAGTAGTGGCTCCCTCTTGATTTATAAATTAAAAAGCAACCAATTTAAAAAATTAAATCATTAATTATGTTTAACACTAATTAAACTTAAAATTAAAAAGGGTTAATTATCTTTTATTAAACAAAAATGTTTTAAACTTTATGTTTCTTGTTCATAGTCTTCTTTGACTATTCATCTTTTCAGGCCAATCACCAACAAATTTTGAAAAATCTTAACAACTAAATAACTCATAAATAAAATTTACTTTCATCTTTAAATTTTCCCAGCAATCAAATAATAAACCATATATTAAATTATAAAAATTCTAACAAGATTTATGAAAATTCGTCCTTATCATCTTCTTCCTCCTCCTTTCTCTCTCCTCCCTCATTCTCCTACTTTCCTCTTCCAAATTGGTACCAAAAATTGAAATTCAAGGACAATTTTGATACTTTTCAAGTTTAGGGATAAATTTGATATATATCCAAAAGTTGATGGACAAAATTGATATTTTAACAGACAAAATTAAGAGCATGTAAATGTAAATGGATAGGGATAGAAACAACTTTTTTATACAATGATTTTATA